CTGACACTCGTTACCTCCGATTGGGAGTCACATGAACAGACAAGACACTACAACCAAAACCAAAACACAACCAAATGAACACACCCTATACCCAACACAACCAAATGAATACACCCTGGCTCAAACTACACAGTCCCGGAGCCAGAGCGTGACAGGCTGTCAACATCCTGGTCCTCAAATGAAACTGGTATACTTTCCTATTTATGCTATTTTTATTCCTCTGCCAGTTTTGATCCTTTATATTGGGCAGACAGACCAGTTCCCTACCTCCTCCCACTGCCACCTGCCTCCATTTCTGGGGTAATGCTGTAATCAATTGGTTGTAATCTTGGATTGAGCAGACTTTCCCATACCATTCTGATAACTCCATGAAAGACATAACTCTACCATTCAAATTTACAATATAATAAAAAAACTAAATACCCCTTTCAAACATATTTCCCATAAATACAGTTTTTTTTATCAACCAGCACATTTGTATTCAGCCATAATATTTGTTGTAATATTTGAACTATCTTTTCAGGGGTATGAAATTGAAATTGTAGCCAGCTCTGCAATGCATGTTTGAAAAAAAGAGAGATACTTTGAAAACAATATAATTTACAATTAATCGAAAATGATACATGGCAATCTGCAAAAAGGCAAAAAGGCCATTTTTAAACAATGGATGAGCTTTTCTTAGTAATCTACTTGAGAACCATTTAGGGTTCAAGTAAAACTTTTGAATAAGTGATGCTTTTAGAGAGAGGTTTAGTGCTTTTATATTTAATAATCTCAACCCAACCAATTAATATTCATTATATAGATAGGCACGCTTTATCTTGCCTGGTTTAGCATCCCAGATAAAGCTAAATATTTTTTGCTCATATGATTTGAAAAATTAATAATCAGGAGTAGGTAGCACCATATGTAAGTGAGTAAACTGAGATATGACTAAGGAGTTAATCAGGGCAATTTTTCCATAAATAGACAGGTATTTACCTCTCCATGGTTGCAGGATCTTGTCTATTTTTACAAGTTTTCTATTGAAATTAATTGTGGAGAACTCATTTATATATTTTGTGATATTATGTCTAATTCACCGTCAGTCCATTTCATAGGTAAACTGCAGGGTAATGTAAAAGTTATATTTTATAAAGATCCAATACATCATATTGTACACAGGTGGTCCTCTGTAGCTCAGCTGGTAGAGCACGGCGCTTGTAACGCCAAGGTAGTGGGTTCGATCCCCGGGACCACCCATACACAAAAATGTATGCACGCATGACTGTAAGTCGCTTTGGATAAAAGTGTCTGCTAAATGGCATATTATTATTATTATATTACTTATCATAATTAGGTTTTAGTCCAGAGAGTCCAGAAAAGTTATCTAGATCTTCAATGAGACATTGCAGGGATTTAGCTTGCGAACTTAATATAAAACTTGAGTCATCGGCATACATGGACACCTTTGTTTTTAAGCCTTGGATTTCTAATCCTCTAATGTTGTTATTTGATCTGATTTTAATAGCTAGCGTTTTGATGGCCGTAACAAATAGATATGGTGACAGCGGACACCCTTGTTTAACTCCTCTTGACAATTCCAAACTCTCTGAGAAGTAGCCGCTATTTACTATTTTACACCTTATAAGAGAATTTTTTACATTTTACATTTTAGTCATTTTAGCAGACGCTCTTATCCAGAGCGACTTACAGTTAGTGAGTGCATACATGATTATTATTATTATTATTATTTATTTTTTTTATATATTTTTCATACTGGCCCCCCGTGGGAATCGAACCCACAACCCTGGCGTTGCAAACGCCATGCTCTACATCCCTGCCGGCCATTCCCTCCCCTACCCTGGACAACGCTGGGCCAATTGTGCGCCGCCCCATGGGTCACCGAAATTGAAAAAATCCAGGAATTTATAAATAAAATCCAGTCTTACTTTATCAAAGGCCTTTTCAAAATCCGCTATAAATACCAGGCCTGGCCTCTTAGATGTTTCATGTTGTTCTATTATTTCTAGTGGTTGTCGTATATTATCTCCAATGTATCGTCCATGTAAAAAACCTGTCTGATCAGGATGAACAATACATGGTAAAACCTTTTTAATTCTGAGTGATATGCATTTCGCTAGTATATTTGTATCTCAACATTGAAGTGTAAGAGGCCTCCAGTTTTTAAGATAGACTGGATCTTTATATTTGCCATCTGGGTCTTGTTTTAATAATAGTGAAATCAGACCTTCCTGCTGAGTACCTGTCAGACTACAATTTCTATAGTAGTTAAAACAAGCTAACAATGGAGCTTTGAGTATATCCATTCTTAAGTTTTGTTTTTGCTTCTTTTACTTTCAGTTTTGTACACCAGCTTCAAACATCTGAAAATACAATATTTTTGGTTATGGAAAAGATACAGTATTTCACAGCGGTTTAGATGGTACAATGATTCTCTACACTATACGTGCTTGTTTTGTCACATAAACAGAAATTAGACGAACTGCATAGCGATTTCTGCATAGCGCAGCTTTAACTCTGCATTGTTGGAAAAGGACCTGTACGTAAACATTTATTTCACAGTTAGTCTACACCTGTTGTTCACGAAGAATGTGACTAATAACATTTCATTTTATTTGATATCGGATATCTCGATATTTGGAGTAGCATATCATAGAAGAGGTCCATAGAAGAGGTCCCCCCAAATATCGGCCAACTCTAAATTAAACAAATACAGAACGATGCTGTAACACTAGTAGGAGGAGATATGCATCTTTCAAATTATTTGCCACAGATATAAAGCGCTCCGCACGTCATCGTCATTAACAGTTGGGAAAATGGCAGAGAGTGAGACAGAGAAGCGACAGCAGTATGGCAATACTTTGACAAGTTAAATAAGTAGGTGGTGAAATGCAAACTTTGCGAAGTGGAATTGAGCTATAGTGGCAGTACAGGTGCAATGCTTAACCATCTGAAAGGGAGGCACCGTGAGGGCTCAATCCAACTGTGTCCTTCAGACAGTCAACATGATGACAATATGATCCCAAACCAATTCCTAATAGTAATAACACATCAATACACTGTAGCCCTGCTCTTTCTATGATGACCTCTGATAGCCTGTATAGTCTTCCTAACCCTAGCCTAGCCACTGGAGGGGGATGTACACCTTTCAATAACAACAGGAGATCAAGATGATGCAGAGACCTATCAATAGGGGGAGTGGTTACTGGCATGTACTCTGAATCTAGTACTGTTTTCCCACATGAATCAGAAACACACTCAAAACTATCTGCATGGTGACCACTGGCCATTATTCTGGGTGGAATAGCTTCAGGAAAACGTTCAGTCATTCAAATGAGCACCCATCAAACAATTGTGGTTCTCAGAATGTTCGCAGAGGCGTGTGTTCGCAAAGGCCTGCTAAATGCTCCCAATAGAACATTCTGGAAACCAAAAGGTGTTAGCTGGAGAGGCTATAATATGATATGAATGTGAATATAACATGTACACGTCACAATTATTGTATATATTAGAAATTGATACGTCAATTTGTAAAAACAAACGTTAATTTAGCTGTTCTGGTTTGCCCAGTGGGTCCTGTTGTACGTAAGTTGCTACTTGAATAATCAGTCCCATTCATAACATATTACAGTATGACATACGAATTACTATAATTATCTACAATTACAATACATCACACTTAACTGTAATTTTATCTTAACTTGATCCGCCACTAGTCTACATCTCTAAAAAAACTCACAATTTCACAGTTCAAAAAAATTATTCACAGCGTTTCTAAAAAGTGTATGACTTAACAGAGATAAGGGGTCATAACCCAGTAAGAAGAACCTCCAGGGAACATTGCCAACCACCAACGGAACCCTCTAAGAAAGAACACACATCCTCGGAGTGCTGCTGGCCATAGAGTAGTGAGTATTATGAACTAACGCCCCACCCCCACTAACACACTTCCTCCCCACTGCATTGGAATGGACGCAGCAGTAGACTGGGCTTGATGCAGTCAGAGAGAGAGAGAGAGCTTAGGGAGTGAAGCTGAGGAGGGAGTGAAGGGCGAGGAATGATATTAATTTATCTCTCAGGAGTTTGGGTGGTAGTGGTGATGAAGGGGGTGGGGGTGGTTGGGGTGGGGGAAACGTCTCCCTTTGCTGTCAGTTGCCGTGGCGAGGCAACACAACCCAAAACGAATGAGATGTCGAAAAAGGTTATACTTGTTGTGGCCAGGGCAGTGAAACAGCATCAGTCTGAATGAAATATGAAATGGAATACTATATTACCAGTGACTGAGTATCTCCATACCTGTTCTCTGTCTCCCTGAGACTTTCTCACCATTCCCCAACACCATACACAGCAAGCCACTCCATGGTCTTTCCCTTGTCTCACCCTGCACAGCACACACACTGCACACAGCGTGCACACACACACACACACACACACACACACACACACACACACACACACACACACACACACACACACACACACACACACACACATACAGCACCCACACATTGCAGAGCACTCAGCACACAGCACCCTCAGCCGATTACCCACACACCCAGCACAAGGTTAAGCATGAAAAAGGAGCCCAGAATGATTAGACTAACAAAGTAGATGGCGGGCGTTCAACTGTTGGTGCCCAGAGCAGAAGGTTACCAGACAGAGAGACGTAAAGACAGACGCAGAGGGAAAGACAGACAGACAGACATAGAGAGAAAGACAGACAGACAGACAGACATACGTAGAGAGAAAGACAGACAGACATACAGACAGACGTAGAGAGAAAGACAGACAGACGTACAGACAGACATAGAGAGAAATACAGACAGACAGACGTAGAGAGAAAGACAGACAGACAGACGTAGAGAGAAAGACAGACAGACATACATACATAGAGAGACCGACAGACAGACAGACAGACAGGTAGACCTGTATGAGGCCAGAGCAGCAGGTTAACAGACAGACAGACGTAGAGAGAGAGAGATAGAGGTGTCTTACCCGCTCAACACTCCCAGAACCAGGTTCAGAACAAAGAAGGAGCCGAAGATGACCAGAGATACAAAGTAGACCCATGGAAGCTCTAGACCCATAGCATCATTCATCTGGAGGAGCACCCGTCACCAGAGAGAGATGGGGAAAGAAGAAGAAGAAGAAGAAGAAGAAGAAGAAGAAGAAGAAGAAGAAGAAGAAGAAGAAGAAGAAGAAGAAGAGGGGAGGAAGAGGGGAGGAAGAGAAAGAGAATAACATGGATAGTCAGAGGGAGAGAAAGATGAGGAAAACAGTTTGCTAAGAATGCAAGGCGAAGGTGAAAACCTCAAGGCATTTATATATAGTTTTACAGTTCAGAGTGAGAAAAAAGGTGAGGGAAGGTTCTGGGACTCAGATATATAGAGAAAGGCTTGACTGAACCTTTAATATTTGAATGACAGTCACATCCAGGCCTAATGACTAATCTTCTGATACATCAGCTTTAGTTAAACTCTCAGAGGGAGTGAGCGGGTCAAAGTTCACACAGAGACCACACAGGGAGAGCTGAGAGCACAGACTGAAATAACAGTGACTAACCTTAACCCCCGCATATTGACTCGGTACCGATATACAGCCTCGTTATTGTTATTTTATTGTAAACTTTTTTACTTTTGTTTATTTTACTTACAAAAAAAAACTGCATTGTTGGTTAAGGGCTTGTAAGCCAGCATTTCACTGTAAGGTCTACTGCACCTGTTGTATTCGGCGCATGTGACAAATAACATTTGATTTGATTTTATATGATCTCTATGACGGAGGGCCTTACCCAGTAAAGCACGTCCGTCCAGCCTTCCATGGTGATACACTGGAACACGGTCAGCATGGCAAACAGGAAGTTGTCAAAGTTGGTGATGCCGTCGTTGGGGCCGTGCCAGCCCTCCCTGCATTCGGTGCCATTGATGGGACATTGGCGCCCATGCCCTGAGATCGCACACGGAGCCGGCTCGTCCTCCGCTATCATGCCTACAGAGAGAGAGGGGGGGGAGAGAGAGAGAGAGAGAGAGAGAGAGAGAGAGAGAGAGAGAGAGAGAGAGAGAGAGAGAGAGAGAGAGAGAGAGAGAGAGAGAGAGAGAGAGAGAGAGAGAGAGAGAGAGAGAGAGAGAGAGAGAGAGTGGGAGAGAGAGTGGGAGAGAGGGAGAGAGAGAGAGAGAGACTGAAACCACAAACGCAATAGTCATGTACACCCACAGATGGTAAGATGCACGCACTCCCACACGCTCTTACCTGTGCTGGGGAAGAAGCAGGTAGCATGCATTTTGCCAATGAAGAGCTCCAGGCCGATGATGGCGTAGATAATGATGACAAACAGGACCAGCAGGGCGATGTGGAGGAGAGGGACCATGGCTTTAATTATGGAGTTCAACACAACCTGTAAACCTACAGAGAGTCAAACATACAGGTTAGATAAGGAAGACATAGCTAGGAGTTTGTGCATGTGTGTGTTACAGTAATATTGTGTGTGGTTGAATTTGTATTGGTCTGTGCCAGAGTCTGGTCGATTAGTAAATGCTCTTGACTCCGGACCAGATATTTCCCTGGTGCTTGGACATAAAAATATTTTCCAAAGTATTCCCACGCATAAATAGAGGCATATGTGATCGCTTTCCAATGTAATCAAGGTTTGAAATGATTCTGTTTTTACAGTAATATGTAATATGAGATCTGTACGTAAAACATTTACATTTCGTGAACTAACACTCGCCCTTACTAGTCATTCAAACGTGTTAACCCTCACAAAGACCATATCACCTCCTCCCTCCCTGACACACTATCCAATTCGCCTACTGCCCTGACAGATCCACAGACGACGCAATCGCCATTGCACTGCACACTGCCCTTACCCACCTGGACAAAAGGAATGCATATGTGAGGATGCTGTTCATCGACTACAGCTCGGCCTTCAATACCATAGTGCCCTATAAGCTCATTACAGAGCTCACGGCCCTGGGTCTGAACTCCTCCCAATCCAACTGGGTCCTGGACTTACTGACGGGCCGCACCCAGATGGTGAAGGTAGGCAACACTACCTCCTCCACACTGATTCTCAACACGGGGGCCCTACAAGGGTGCGTCCTCAGTCCCCTCCTGTATTCCCTGTATACCCACGACCGCGTGGCCTCACACAATTCCAACTCCATCATCAAGTTCGCTGACGACACAACAATAGTTGACCAGATTAACAAAAAAACGACGAGACAGCCTACAGGGACGAGGTAGGCACTCTGACGGCATGGTGCCAGGTAAACAACCTCTCCCTCAACGTTAGCAAAACAAAGGAGCTGATTGTGCACTTCAGGAGGAACCTGGCTGGACACGACTCCATCCTCATCAACGGTGCCGCTGTGGAGACGGTCAATAACTTCAAATTCCTCGGCATACACATCTCAGAGAAGCTGAAATGGTCTAACCACACGACACCGTGGTGAAGAAGGCACGACAGCGACTCTTTCATCTAAGGATGCTGAATACATTTGGCCTGCCCCTGAGGGCCCTCACAGTGTTCTACAGGAGCACCATCGAGAGCATACTGTCGGGCTGCATCACAGCCTGGTACGGCAAATCCACCGCCGCGGACAGCAAGGCTCTTCAGAGGGTGATATGTGCAGCCGATCGCACCATTGGGTGCAAACTGCCTGCCTTACAGGACACCTAAAACACCATGTGTCGCAGGAAGGCCAATAAGATCATAAGGGACCCCACTCTCCACCCAAGCCATTCCCTGTTCTCCCTCTTCAATCCCTCAGACACAGGCAGTACAGGAGCATAATGGCAAAAACTGGAAGACTGGCAAATAGTTTCTACCCTCAGACCATCAGGCTGCTTAATAGCCACCACTATCAATCAATCAATCAATTTTATTTTATATAGCCCTTCTTACATCAGCTAATATCTCGAAGTGCTGTACAGAAACCCAGCCTAAAACCCCAAACAGCTAGTAATGCAGGTGTAGAAGCACGGTGGCTAGGAAAAACTCCCTAGAAAGGCAAAACCTAGGAAGAAACCTAGAGAGGAACCAGGCTATGAGGGGTGGCCAGTCCTCTTCTGGCTGTGCCGGGTGGAGATTATAACAGAACCATGCCAAGATGTTCAAAAATGTTCATAAGTGACAAGCATGGTCAAATAATAATCAGGAATAAATCTCAGTTGGCTTTTCATAGCCGATCATTAAGAGTTGAAAACAGCAGGTCTGGGACAGGTAGGGGTTCCATAACCGCAGGCAGAACAGTTTAAACTGGAATAGCAGCAAGGCCAGGCGGACTGGGGACAGCAAGGAGTCACCACGGCCGGTAGTCCCGACGTATGGTCCTAGGGCTCAGGTCTCTCAGTTGGCTTTTCATAGCCGATCATTAAGAGTTGAAAACAGCAGGTCTGGGACAGGTAGGGGTTTCGTAGCCGCAGGCAGAACAGTTGAAACTGGAATAGCAGCAAGGCCAGGCGGACTGGGGACAGCAAGGTGTCATCATGCCCGGTAGTCCTGACGTATGGTCCTAGGGCTCAGGTTCTCAGAGAGAAAGAGAGAACGAGAGAATTAGAGAGAGCATACTTAAATTCACACAGGACACTGGATAAGACAGGAGAAGTACTCCAGGTATAACCAACTAACCCCAGCCCCCCGACACATAAACTACTGCAGCATAAATACTGGAGGCTGAGACAGGAGCGGTCCGGAGACACTGTGGCCCCATCCGAAGAAACCCCCGGACAGGGCCAAACAGGAAGGATATAACCCCACCCACTCCGCCAAAGCACAGCCCCCGCACCACTAGAGGGATATCCCCAACCACCAACTTACAATCCTGAGACAAGGCCGAGTATAGCCCACAGAGGTCTCCACCACAGCACAAACCAAGGGGGGGGCGCCAACCCAGACAGGAAGATCACGTCAGTAACTCAACCCACTCAAGTGACGCACCCCTCCCAGGGACGGCATGAAAGAGCACCAGCAAGCCAGTGACTCAGCCCCTGCAACAGGGTTAGAGGCAGAGAACCCCAGTGGAGAGGGGAACCGGCCTGGCAGAGACAGCAAGGGCTGTTCGTTGCTCCAGCCTTTCCGTTCACCTTCACACTCCTGGGCCAGACTACACTCAATCATATGACCTACTGAAGAGATAAGTCTTCAGTAAAGACTTAAAGGTTGAGACCGAGTCTGCGTCTCTCACATGGGTAGGCAGACTGTTCCATAAAAATGGAGATCTATAGGAGAAAGCCCTGCCTCCCGCTGTTTGCTTAGAAATTCTAGGGACAATTAGGAGGCCTGCGTCTTGTGACCGTAGCGTACGTATTGGTATGTACGGCAGGACCAACTCGGAAAGATAGGTAGGAGCAAGCCCATGTAACGCTTTATAGGTTAACAGTAAAACCTTGAAATCAGCCCTTGCCTTAACAGGAAGCCAGTGTAGGGAAGCTAGCACTGGAGTAATATGATCAAATTTCTTGGTTCTAGTCAGGATTCTAGCAGCCGTATTTAGCACTAACTGAAGTTTATTTAGTGCTTTATCCGGGTAGCCGGAAAATAGAGCATTGCAGTAGTCTAACCTAGAAGTAACAAATGCATGGATTAATTTTTCTGCATCATTTTTGGACAGAAAATTTCTGATTTTTGCAATGTTACGTAGATGGAAAAAAGCTGTCCTTGAAACAGTCTTGATATGTTCGTCAAAAGAGAGATCAGGGTCAAGAGTAACGCCTAGGTCCTTCACAATTTTATTTGAGACGACTTTACAACCATCAAGATGAATTGTCAGATTTAACAGAAGATCTCTTTGTTTCTTGGGACCTAGAACAAGCATCTCTGTTTTGTCCGAGTTTAAAAGTAAAAAGTTTTCAGCCATCCACTTCCTTATGTCTGAAACACAGGCTTCTAGCGAGGGCAATTTTGGGGCTTCACCATGCTTCATTGAAATGTACAGCTGTGTGTCATCCGCATAGCAGTGAAAGTTAACATTATGTTTTCGAATAACATCCCCAAGAGGTAAAATATATAGTGAAAACAATAGTGGTCCTAAAACGGAACCTTGAGGAACACCGAAATGTACAGTTGATTTGTCGGAGGACAGACCATTCACAGAGACAAACTGATATCTTTCCGACAGGTAGGATCTAAACCAGGCCAGAACTTGTCCGTGTAGACCAATTTGGGTTTCCAGTCTCTCCAAAAGAATGTGGTGATCGATGGTGTCAAAGGCAGCACTAAGGTCTAGTAGCACGAGGACAGATGCAGAGCCTCGGTCTGACGCCATTAAAAGGTCATTTACCACCTTCACAAGTGCAGTCTCAGTGCTATGATGGGGTCTAAAACCAGACTGAAGCATTTCGTATACATTGTTTGTCTTCAGAAAGGCAGTGAGTTGCTGCGCAACAGCTTTTTCTAAAATTTTTGAGAGGAATGGAAGATTCGATATAGGCCGATAGTTTTTTATATTTTCCGGGTCAAGGTTTGGCTTTTTCAAGAGAGGCTTTATCACTGCCACTTTTAGTCAGCTACCTCCTCCACCCTCCTCCACCCTGCTGCTCCCCCTATGGACACCCCCCCCCAACTGACTTTTACTCTGCCCCTATCCCAACGACATTCATAACTGTTGCAGTTGTTAATATGTATATTATAATTTTAGGTTTTTATTTCACTTGGTCCCCACACTTCCTCAATGGTCATGCTGCTCCCCCTATGGTCATGCCCCCCCCCCCACCCCCTCAGCCTTTACTCTGCCTCCACCCCAATGGACATTTATTTATTCATCACTGCTACAGTTGTTATGATGCATATAGTGCTGTTTCTATTGTTGTCTTATATTACCATTTTCATTCTTTTATTTCACTTAGTCCTGCATGTTGGAGCTCGGAGCCTAAGATTTTCACTGTACCCTGCAATCATACCTGCAACCCTGTACAACGCTCTATTAAACACTCTTAATCTGAATCAGATTTTGCTGATAGCTACTTTATTGAGGGATCAGTCAGCACTCACAACAACACTGTGTTCGTGTTAGACCTACGTTCAAATACTATTTTAAATATTTAAAATGTACTTTCGCCTGCCTGGAGCGCCAGATGGATGGGGTTTGCACTCCTTGTAACTATTCTATTCCATTGTGTCAGGCAAGCTCAGTCAAGTCCAGATGAAGTATTTGAAATGATCTCAAATAGTATTTGAACCCAGGTCTGGTCGGTGTTGTTGTGAGGTCAAAGGTGAAGGGTCAGATAGCAGTAACTCACTGGGCACTCCTGAGACCAGGCGTAGGGGTCGCAGCACACGGAATGCTCGGAGGGCTTTGACGTCGAAGCCGCCAGACTTTCCCCCGTGGCCGTGGGCGGAGGGGTGGAGCGCTGCAGCTGCAGCCGCAGCCTCCGCCGCAGCCGCAGCCGCACCTGCCTCCTCCTTTGTCTCAACAGAGTCTTTGGTCAAAAGCTCCAGGACAACACTGAACAGCCTGCAGAGACACACCAGGGAAAACATGTTACAGGAAACACATCAGAAAGAGAATGTTGCAGATCAAACATTCCAGGACAGCAATGAATTACTACAGAAAGAGAGAGAACATGTTAAAGGACTGGAGCATTGGATTCAGGGCCCATATTCCTCTCTCAGAGTAGGAGTATTCCTCTCTCAGAGTGGGCGGCAGGTAGCTTAGCGGTTAAGAGCGTTGTGCCAGTAACCGAAAGGTCGCTGGTTCTAATCCCGAGCCAACTAGGTGAAAAATCTGTCGATGTGCCCTTGAGCAAGGCACTTAACCCTAATTGCTCTGGATAAGAGCGTCTGCTAAATGACTAAAATGAGTAGGAGTGCTGATCATGGATCAGGTTCCCCCTGTTCATGCAATCTTATTCATTATGATATAAAAGGCAAAACTCAGTAGATCAGCAGTCCCACTCCCTGCGCTGATTTTTTTTGGTGCCCGTGCTACAGACGGCTATATCAGTCCACTAATACTTTTTTTGCAAACATTTTTACTTTTTTAAAATTAAGAATAGTTTTTAATCCAGATTTTTCAGGGGGGCTGCTGAACCCTCAGCACCCCTTCTTCCTGCGGCTATGGAGCTGAGAGAACATTTTGCAGTTTTAAAGCTAATTTCCTGCAATTCTATGCATTTTGCCATGGCTAATGCTGTGTTCTTTTGCTCAAACATAATAACAAAATCTATATTGCTAAATTCATTGTTTTGGGAATTTTCAATTCTCCCTGACTGTCTAACTTTTATTTAGGTGATTATTAGTTCTCAAAGATTATAAAAATATATATTTAGGTCCATTATCTTTTCTTTATAGTTTTTATCTAGTTTTAGTCGTTTAAGTTTACAATGAAAATGTTTTTCCATTGACCCAAAAAAACGCTTAGGTGGCCCACTGAAGGATTTCTATGGCAGAAAAATCCTTGCACACACACACACACAGCAGGTAGAAATACAGTGTAATACTTTAGTTCATGGGTGGAGAGAACAATGAACATCCTATTGTAAAAAAAGCAGACGTTTAGTTCAAGTCAGTTAGCTAGTCCTCACCTACCTAGCCAAGAGTGGAAATCATCCCAGCACATCACATCAAAGCTGGGCAGCAGTAGGCACTAAATGGGCTATACTATACAGTATATACAAAAGTATGTGGACACCCCTTCAAATTAGTGTATTCGGCTATTTCAGCCACACTCGTTGCTGACAGGTGTATAAAATCGCGCACACAGCCATGCAATCTCCATAGACAAACATTGGCAGTAGAATGGCCTGAAAACATAATGCCAACTGTAAAGTTTGGTGGAGGAGGAATAATGATCTGGGGCTGTTTTTCATGGTTCGGGCTCCTTAGTTCCAGTGAAGGGAAATCTTAACGCTACAGCATACAATGTAATTCTAGACAATTCTGTGCTTCAGTTTGGGGAAGGACCTATCCTGTTTCAGCATGACCGAGGTCCATACATAAATGGTTTGTCGAGATCGGTGTGGAAGAACTTGACTGGCTTGCACAGAGCTCTGACCTCAACCCCATCGAACACCTTTGGGATGAATTGGAACGCCGACTGCGAGCCAGGCCTAATCGCCCAACATCAGTGCTCGACCTCACTAATGCTCTTGTGGCTGTCCCCGCAGCAATGTTCCAACATCTAGTGGAAAGCCTTCCCAGAAGAGTGGAGGCTGTTATAGCAGCAAAGAGGGGGACCAACTCCATAATAATACCCATGATTTTGGAATGAGATGTTCGACGAGCAGGTGACCACATACTTTGGGTCATGTAGTGTAATTCTGCGCAGTCATTTGGCCTGTGTGCAGTACTTTAGTGTGTCCAGTTCAGTTTTGGGGATATTGACATGTCTATATTTGGATATTGACAGAGGTTAGCTTAGTGTGCCGTTTCTATGATGAGTAAGCAGCATGTGCTGTAGTCAGTCAGTCAGTCATCCTAGCAGGATGCATCTCTCTGCATCTGACTGCATGACAGATCAACCCACATGCCGCACATAGACACAGATCTGACCTAGCTATCCACTGGACTGTGTGTCTATTAGAGGAGGGAGGGAGGGAGGGAGGGAGGGAGGGAGGGAGGGAGGGAGGGAGACAGGGAGGGAGGGAGGGAGGGAGGGAGGGAGGGAGGGAGGGAGGGAGGGAGGGAGGGAGGGAGAAATATAGAGGAGAGGGAGAGAGGAGTTTGGGAGAGGAATAAAAAGCTAGAGGAAGAAAGGAGAAAGAGAGGGGGAATATGGAATGAGAGAGAAAAGGAAGAGAGGGTGGGAGAGAGAGGGAGGGAGAGATGAGATGGAATATGGTGAGATGGTGAGTCACTCCAGTGGTGGTAAAGCAGTGATTTATCCTCCATGTCTTTTCTGGGTCATATACTGTAAGTGGATGAGGGTCCGTCCCTATTAGGACTGGGCCACCGACTGTGGACACGTCACAAATGGCACCCTATTCCCTATATAATAGTGTACTACTTTTGACCAGGGCCCTGGTCAAAGGTAGTGCACTATATTGGGAATAGGGTGCCGTTTGGGAATCAGGCAACTCAGTCCAACTCAACCACTGTCACAAACAAGTACACAGTCAGGCTCAAATGAGGAACTGCAGTTCAAATTCAAACCCTAAACTGAAACACTAAAAAAAGCCCTGGGCCTTTATTCATAAAGCATCTCAGTTTGAGTATAAGTACTGTTCAACGGTTTCAGTTAGCCTGGAAACCCGACGTTGAATTTCATTAAATTCTATATAATAAGCGTCTGAGAATAAGTACTGCTCTAGGATCAGATTTGCCTTGTAAATTATAATGAATGGACAGGGGGGACCTGATCCTAGATCAGCACTCCTACTCTGAGACTATTTATGAAGGACTTCACAACACAATCAGAACTGAGGAAAACCTTATTATCTAAAATCTCTTTAGCTTTAGCCCATCAGATTAATTCCAGTTGGCAATGAATGAGCGGCTGGAGAGTAAGGAAACTTGGAGATATTTACCCAACAACGACGATGACAAAATCCAGCATGTTCCATCCGTTTCTCACATATGCGTTCTGGTGCGCCACTAAACCGTAGGCGATAATCTTCAGAAAGGTCTCGATAGTGAAAATGACAAGGAAGACATGTTCTACCGTTTCCTGCACAGAGAGAGAGAGAGAGAGAGAGGGGAAGAGAAAACAATAGATTGCTATGGGCGTTGGGCAATACTAATTATTTATTATACAGTAGTGACAATTCATATTATTCATAGCACAGTTTTGAGGCCCACAAAGAGAGGGTAACTTGGAGGCGCCGTGTTGAGTGAGTTGCTAGATAGGGAGCACAGGATAGGGAGCACAGGATAGGGAGTGCAGGATAGGGAGCACAGGATAGGGAGTGCAGATGCTGGCAGGTTTGTCAGCATCAGAGTAGTGACTGAGTGAGTGTGTCTGTGTGTGTGTGTGAGTGTGTGTGTGCGTACGTGTGTGTATACAGCACAGGAGGTTGGTGGCACCTTAATTGGGGAGAACGGGTGCGTGTTCATAACTGGAGCAGAATGGGTGGATTGGTATCAAATACATCAAACACATGGTTTCCAGGTGTTTGATGCCATTCCATTTGCTCCGTTCCGGCCATTATTATGAGCCGTTCTCCCCTCAGCAGTCTCTTGTGGTATACAGTAAGCATGAGTGGGGCCACAGTGTGTGACAGGTCTTTCGCTGTTCTCAAAGCCATAATGAAATCGTGTGCTAGCTACCGTAGCTTGGTTTTGTCTGCTGCTACTTATCTACCCATATCATATCTATTGCTACCTAATACCTATTGTTATCTAAAGTCAGGGGTCCTGCTAGGTTCTGCTAGCCAGAGGCAGTGTTGTTGGGAGAGTGAACGTTAGACAGTCACAGCCCTGACAGACCATTAAAGATAGGACGAGCGAGAATAGAGCAGAGAGAGAGGAGCGCGCACGTTATTAGCGACTCTCGTGTACTCTCATAGCTCTCTCGATCTAGCATTCCTCTACTAGCTCTTCTCTCTCTGATCTCTCATCTCTCCTCTTCGGACAGAGTCCTAAGTCCGGTGCTGTGTAGACACCATACAGAGTATTCTGGGCTGCAGGGCTCGTTTTGCCAACAGTTTACTGCCGATTGAGTGAAGCACTTAGCCCAGTGAAAGAGACACGGGCCCCTTTGTTACCACTGTAAAAGGTTGAGCGAGGCTTTCGGCCTACTACTACCATTCTATTGAGAGTGGCAGAGCTGGACAGAGAGAGATAGGCAGAGATAGAGAGATAGGGGCAGAGCGGACAGAGAGAGATAGGCAGAGATAGAGAGATAGGGGCAGAGCGGGAAGAGAGATAGCAGAGATAGAGAGATAGGGGCAGAGCGGGACAGAGAGAGATAGGCAGAGATAGAGAGATAGGGGCAGAGCGGGACAGAGAGAGATAGGCAGAGATAGAGAGATAGGGGCAGAGCGGGACAGAGAGAGATAGGCAGAGATAGAGAGATAGGGGCAGAGGTGTCAGAGAGAGATAGGCAGAGATGAGAGATAGGGGCCAGAGCGGGACAGAGAGAGATAGGCAGAGATAGAGAGATAGGGGCAGAGCGGGACAGAGAGAGATAGGCAGAGGTAGAGAGATAGGGGCAGAGCGGGACACAAACAGAGTACGGGACAGAGAGACAGAGAGAAAGAGAGAGACTTCTCATGTTGAGATTGGTCTACTACTATTGCGTTCATGCATTGTTATTCTCATTAATATTGTTGTTGTAGTTACTGTTAATGTTAATACCATTTCCACTACTACTATTATTATTGATGCCTTTATTGCTGTTGGTCCCATCATTTTTTGTTATATGTGTACTTTGACAATGTAAGTAATTTAACTTGCAATGTCAATAAAGTCTACTGAATTGAATTGAGAGAGAGAGAAGGGGGGGGGCAAATCAGCAAGGGAGAGATAGAGAGAAAGAGCGAGAAGATGAAAGAATCAGGTTAGAACAATCAAATGAATTGCCATATGCTACGATAAAAAGAGAGCGTGAGAGAGAGTGTAAGGGTGAAAAAGGGACAGAGAGGAAGAGAGAGAGAGGAAGAGAGCATGAGAGAGAGACTGTAAGGGTGAAAGAGGGACAGAGAGGAAGAGAGAGAGAGGAAGAGAGCGTGAGAGAGAGACTGTAAGGGTGAAAGAGGGACAGAGAGGAAGAGAGCGAGAGAGAGAGAGAGGACTCAATGAGCATAGCCTTGCTATTGAAAAAGGCTGCCGTAGGCAGACCTGGCTCTCAAGAGAAGACAGGCTATGTGCACACTGCCCACAAAATGAGGTGGAAACTGACCTCCTGCCAAAAATGTATGACCATATTAGAGACACATATTTCCCTCAGATTACAGAGATCCACAAAGAATTCAAAAACAAACCCAATTTTGATAAACTCCCTTATCTACTGGGTGAAAAACCACAGTGTGCCATCACAGCAGCAAGATTTGTGACCTGTTGCCACAAGAAAAGGGCAACCAGTGAAAAACAAACACCATTGTAAATACAACCCATATTTATGTTTATTTATTTTCCCATTTGTACTTTAACAATTTGCACATTGTTACAACACTTTATATAGACATAATATGACATTTGAAATGTTTTTATTCTTTTGGAACTTCTGAGTGTAATGTTTACTGTTAATATTTATTGTTTATTTCACTTTTGTTTACTATCTACTTCACTTGCTTTGGCAATGTTAACATACGTTTCCCATGCCAATAAAGCCCTTATATTGAATTGAAATTGAATTGAGAGAGAGAGAGAGAGAGAGAGAGAGAGGAGAGAAGAGAGAGAGGAGAGAGACGAGAGGAGAGGAGAGAGAGGAGGAGAGAGAGAGAGAGAGAGAGAGAGAGAGAGAGAGGAGAGGAGAGAGAGAGAGAGAGAGAGAGAGAGAGAGAGAGAGAGAGAGAGAGAGAGGAAAGCGAGGACTGTGGGGCAGGCCATAAATATCTCTGACTAATGGCAGAGGTTATTTGTGCTGTAAAGAGACATACAGTATGCACTCCCCTCATACATACAAAATACAAGAACTAACAGAACATTATTAACAGCTCCCACAGCCACTAAGACACCCACTCCCCCACACACACACAAGCATGCCGTACGCACGCACATACACGCACAGCAAGCATGCACGCATACACGAGTGGCGCAGTGGTCTAAGGCACTGCATTGCAGTGCTAGCTGTGCCACTAGAGATCCTGGTTCGAATCCAGGCTCTGTCAAGCCGGCCGTGACCGGGAGACCCATGGGGCGGTGCACAATTGGCCCAGCGTCGTCCAGGGTAGGGGAGGGAATGGCCGGCAGGGATGTAGCTCAGTTGGTAGAGCATGGCGTTTGCAACGCCAGGGTTGTGGGTTCGATTCCCATGGGGGGCCAGTATGAAAAAAAAATTAAAAAAATAATAATGATAAAAAAGATAATGTATGCACATTACTAACTGTAAGTGGCTCTGGATAAGAGCGTCTGCTAAATGACTCAAATGTAACTTTAACTGCCATAAATGTTATTCATGTTATTATTAATGTTATTCATGTCATTATTAATAGGTTTTACATAATATCATTATTATTTGTATAAGTATTCTTGTTTCTAAGTGGACCCATTTCCCTCTCAGTTGTGTGCAGCCAGCGAGGTATGTTCATTATGTTAATTATTTGTCGCGCATATTTACGTGCAAGGTTTCTGTAACGTGAACACCAACTTGTTTTTTGTGCATGTGTTGAAATGTATTTAAACAGTTCGACGGTGGATTGATGACGGTGGAGAATTTAGTAGAAGAATAAATCCATCAGTAACCAGAACAGCGGCGTCGTGTATTTCCTGGAGGGAGTGAGAGTCGAACTCGAGTCTGCGTGATCGTTTCCTGACCTGCTCTGCAAGACAGCTCGTCAAGACGGACTCACAGATAAGCCACTGTTCAGTGTTAAAGGACTCACACAAGTTCATCCGTTTTTTTTTTTTCATGAAGACGTCCGTAAGTCAGACACTTAAGTTTGTGTTCTGAAAAGGTGACACAAGGATTGGAAAATATAAAGGACTTCAAAGGGCTGTGTGTAGCCAAGTAACATAACAGTGTGTAACAAGATATTAAGAGACATTAATGTAAGTGATTTAGCGATATTGATAATTCTTTATTTCATTGAATATAAGTCATTGATTTACTTAAGAAGAGGATTTATGTTTGTGCATTTAAGAAAGCTGTTATTTTGAGTGATTCTGCAACATTTCAAAATCTTTATAATGCCTGCCTTTATTCTGAAGGGTTAATTTCAAAGACAATAACTTAACTTGGCATATTCTATTCTCTTGAGTATTTCTTTTTGTAAAATGTTTGTTGTAAACTCTACTGTTTATTTAAGACAACTGTCTTGTGTACAGGTTACTTTCAAATAAGTTAATATGTCACATAGAAGTAAAGAGAGTCAGTGTAAAGGATCACTCGTAGAGCCAGTAGAAGAGACAGAGCAGACAGATGAGTCTAGCGTTGTACAAGAAGCAGTACAGTCTGAAGAGCCTCGACGAAGTGGAAGAGCCCGTACATTAACGGAAAAGGGAAAAGAATTTCAGAAAGAAAAAACAAAAGAACTACTAATTCGCTTTGACAGCATTTATGAACGCTGGAAAGTTTTAACTAAGGTGGCTAAGAAATCAGTTACAAAACAAGATCCAAGTAACATCCTACACGAACACAGCAGCACTATTCAAAGAGAGTTATCTGAACTGAATAATGTTTATGAAGAATATCGCAGGATTGACAGCCCAGCTCACGAGATGCGCCGCAAGCTGGATAAATGTATATCAGTCACCAAGATTGTTGTACACAACGCGCAATCTCAAATTCAAGGAACAAAGGAGGAACTGATTTGGCCGGATGCAAGCTCCGTATTCGCATCTACGATTTCCAGTGTGTCATCTCCAGACTTTAAGTCTTCTAAGGCCACTTCCATTCGCTCTAATGTATCCTCAGTTAAACGACAAGAAGCCGCTGCTGAGTATGCAGCCACAAAGGCTGTGTTGAAGATTATGGCTGAGCAAGAGTGCCACCAAGAGAAACTCCAAAGACTTGAAGTTGAGGACAAGAAGATAGTTGCAGAGCAAGAAGTAGCTGCAGTAACTCGT